TACAATAAAGTACAAGTCAGTCTATATACCGCATTCACTTGCTGCTTTGTTTTATACCTTCACTCTTTATCTGCTTCATGCTCCGAATAGTTTTCAACTGGAATGAGTGTCCAAGATATGGCCTGTAGCGGCGAACAGAACAAAGAGAAGAAAATTCACGACTAAAATCCCTGATACAATGCATCTGAGTAACATCACAGTCTGATCTTTCTGCTGAAGGGATGTTTGTTTCTGTGCTGACCAACATCATCTTAAACTTAGCACATCCTGTTTCTTATACTTTTCAGCAAATGTAATTTTACTGTTAAGCCAAAACAGATTTTACATTCTCTGTTTCTCTTGTGGGTCTATCATTATAAAAACTTGGTACATTTGCATAGTGCATTAAATGTAGTAAAACCCTCAAATCATCTCGCAGAAGTGCATTTGGATAGAACTTGACACAGTGGTCAGGTGAAAAGTGGCCAAAAGCTTGGTGAAGAGATGGCTTTTAATTGGTGTCTTAAAGCCAAGACACAGAGAAAGGCAGAAAGCTTAGGAAGCAACTCCCAGAGTTCAAGAATATGTAAGTGAAGGAAATTGGGGATACAGGAGCAGTCAGTGAGGAATGCAAAGTTCTCAGATGATTGTGAAGCTTAAGGAGATAAAGATAAGGACAGTAGACCCTATGGAGGAATTGAACATGTGGATGACCACTTATTATAATAATAGAAAATAAACAGAGTCTGTAGACACTCAGGCGGGTCTTTACACTGAAGCTGAACCTTTCTCAAACTAGTCCAGTATATATTGTGTACAGACCTGACTGCCTGTGCATTGAGCAGCCATCTACTGGTAACAATATGCATTCCAAAATACAAAAAAATAACAAGCAGGTTTCAATGCTCACTCGCCTCTATGGGATTTCGGATCTCTGCTCTGGATAGGTGGCAACGAGTAGAAATTGTCCATCAGGAGTCAGGAAGGAAAGAAAAATAATTAATCACTGGAATCATCCTTTGTAACTCTGTGGCAGCTGGTTGAGGTTATCACTGGAAGGCAGGTTGTTACCGCACTCTGTACGGATAGGTTTGTTCAAGCTCACATATTGATGCATCATTTAGTAAAGACCATAGGGTCATGGAGGAATGCATAAAAAATTGAAAGTCAGTATTCCCAATATTTTGCAGTTATCTTATATCTTGGGCATTAACAGCTTCACGGTTTCTGATTATCAATCAGACAGCAGCCTTTTCCAACATCTTAAAACAAGTTAAATAAATTAAGTCCAAAATATATCAGACAGGACAATCAGTAAACCAAAATAAATGTAAATGCTATAATAGGGATCAGTGGCTGCAATTTGAACATCCCATTTCTCGGTAACAATTACTTCAGAACATGGACAGAATGTCAAATGCCAATGGACAGAAGGAGGTAGTTGAATACTGAATAAAAAAGACCATTAAATGGTTTTGTTTCTCCCCCTATAAATTCATGCTCCTAACTAACAACACACGCGCTGAAACATGTAGGACAGCAATTCAAGACATCATAATCCACATTACACAGCAGCCCTAACAACCTGTGTTCTTCAGAGAACTGTCATGAACAGCTGGGATATTATATTGAATGGTGACTTACACAACACAAACCATGCAGTCAGAACTCACTTGCGAAGGCTCCACCGATGGGTTATAAAATCAATATCACTGATTATTTTGCCTAATTCACTGGCTCTGATGCATGCCCTCTGTTTGTCACCTTTAAAAAGCAATGATCTCACTGCACTCTCAGCTGCATCTGTTGTTCTACATACAGACTGCTGAACCTATTGATTAGAGTTCAGCCTTACTGACTGTAGAGAGGCAAATATAAAAATAAACCTCATGTACAGCAAAGCTTGTGACAGGACTAATGATAGGATCAAAATGACGAATGAGTAAAAACAGTACTTAATGTAAAACGTGTAAATATTTTCGACATAAAAATACTACATATTGTATATTATTTCGTGTGGCTCCTGCAGACAGATTAGAGGTGCAATTTCTATTGTACACAGATTTAATAAACTTATATTAATGCTAAAGGCTTTCCATAACCCAAACCATAACATTTCACAGTAGGTACGCTCTCTTCACTGAAGTATGGAAACAATAACTTGGAATGTGGAACAGGAGTCACAATTCATACGAGTACAGCTATTTCCTGAATCATACCCAGACGATGATCCACGTAGGATTTCATATATTAGTCAGTATTCTCAAGGACTGACCATCTTTTTCATTGAAAACATAATCCTTTCTAATAACAGTCAGCAAACAAAGACAATTCCTGTAGAACTGCTGACACAAAGTGTTAAAGTAGATTTCCATCTGTTAATTGTGTCAAAAACAATCAGGAAGAGAGAATATAAAATGTCCTCGTCCCACCTCCACACATGGAGTGCAAATGGATACATACTCTTACTTTGTAACAGTGCCAACTCTTAACACACCAACACTCAAGATATCGCAAATGTTAAATAATACCAAAGTAATACCAAAATAATATTAACAATATATTTTGAGCCCAAATTGTCAAAGTTTCACACACAATGTAAGCTTGGCCATTCTCGAGGGGCTGTGTACAAATGTGAATTATTGCAATCTCTTTGTAGCAATAACAGGAAATCAATTTCAAAAATATTTTCTGATTTCTGAAACAATGCTGGTCAAGAATATGTAGAATGCAGCCTGTACTGAAGAATAGGTTTTCGCTTTCGTCCAATTTTCTGTGCTGAAGGCACTGATTCCTTATCTGTTTCCATGGTGCACTGTCGACCTGTATCTCCTCAGGTTTTATCACGGGTATCGGTGCTGTCAGCCTGTTCCAGCAGAGACTCAGAGCTCTCCTGATCTTGTCCTCAACTATCATCCATACATGTTCTTTTCCACAGATGTCTGAATTAAACCACAAACCACTTGGGGCACCAGTAGGGCAACATCAATAATAACAGCACTTCTTGTTTAAGGAGAGTAAATGATGGTTGGGGTTCCTGCTACAAACCTTAAAAAGGTTTTTTGGTTTAATTCCAGATACTAATCTCCACAAGCTACAGGCTGGGCTCCACAATGTTTCAGTGAGCTCATTAAGTTTAGAAGAGTTTAGAGGACATTTAGAAGTTGAGAAGATGGAGAAGTGATCTCGTTGAAACATACAGGATTCTTAAAGGGCTTGACGAGGTAAATGCTGAGAGATAACACAATGTGAAGCTGGAGGAGTGCAGCAGGCCAGGCAGCATTAGAGGACCAGGAAAGTTGACGTTTTGGGTCGGGACCCATCTTTGGAAATGGGGGAGGGGGACGGGAGCTCTGAAATAAATAGAGATGGGGGTGGGGCTGGGGAAAGTAGGTGGGGTGGTGACAGGTCAGTCCAGGTAGGCAGTGGTAGGGATCGGTTAGTGAATTGGGAGCAGCAGATAGATAGGAGAGAAGATGGATGGATTGTGTCAGGTCAAGGAGGCGGGGATGAGAGGGAGGGTTGGTCATGGGATGAGGCCGAGGGTGGGGAGATTTTGAAACTGGTAAAGTCCACATTGAGACCGTTGGGTCTCAAATCTCCTCAAATCTCCCCACCCCTGGCCTCATCCCATGACCAACCCTCCCTGTCATCCCCGCCTCCTTGACCTGACACAACCTGTCCATCTTCTCTCCCACCTAACCGCTCCTCCCAACTCACTGACCGATCCCCACTGCCTACCTGCATTCACCTATCACCATCCCACCCATGTTCCCCAGCCCCATCCCTCCTCTATTTATTTCAGAGCTCCCTTACCCCTCCCCCATTTCTGAAGAAGGGTCCCGACCTGAAATGTCAGCTTTCCTGCTCCTCTAATGCTGCCTGGCCTGCGCGCTCCTCCAGCTCCATACTGTGTTATCTCTGAATCCAGCATCGGCAGTTCTTACTATCTCTAAATGCTGAGAGGATGTTTTCCCTCACGGGAGAGTCTAGGGTCAGAGAGCATAGTCTCAGAATAAATGGGAACCAATTTAAGAGTAAGATGTGGAGGCATTTCTTCTCTTAGAGGGCCAAGAGTCTTTGGAACTCCTTACCACAGAGAGCTGTGGCTGCAGTGTGTTTGTATATATTTTAAGCTGAGATAGATAGATTCTTAATCAGTCAGGAAATCAAGGGGCACAGGGAAAAGGCAGGAAAGTGGATGTGAGGAACAACAGATCAGCCATGATCCTATGGAATGGTGCAGCAGGCTCAAGAGGACAAACGACCTACTCCTACACACACACACACACCAGCAAAGTCTCTTGGGCACATTGTTCAGTCTATGTGATTTGGTAGATCTTAGTTGGGGCCTGTAAAATGGGTTTGCTGATTATGATGGGGAAGGGAAAACATCTGGCAGGATAGCTCCCGATTGTTGCAGCAAGAGCACATAGTTGGACATTGGTCAAAAATCACAATAGCTATAACGCCTTTAGCCTGTCAGCATCCACTTGTTAAACCTTACACTAACAGCCACCTCAGACTGGTACTAGAGGACAAACACAATCCATGCACCTCAACTGGGGCGGCAGCAATTGTGAGGCCCAAACAAAGTACAAGCAGTGCACACAAAAATCTAACCATCACTAGATATTCAACACTCAGTGATATCAATGTCATTGGTCCTGAGAACAAGATGGCCATCCCCATCAACATAAGTAGCCTTTATTCAATACAGCAACAACAAGTCTGCATCATCGTCGCGATTATCTGTCCAGACTTCAGGAACACTCCACTCAGCAACATCAATGCTGCCAGCTCAGAGATGCTCTTACAAATACTCACAGCCTCGAGCTGTACACTCAACACTGCTCATATAACCAGCTCCTGCACTGACAACAGGAGAACATTCCCACTCACATAAGCTCCGAAAGAACAATGTACATCCTCGTCCATGACACTGGCACCAACAGCATGGCCCATGTTCACTGTCACTGTTGTTTCAGCAACCAACATGAAAATAACTTCAACTTCCTTACCACCTTCGGATCTTGGTTCTTTTCCTGGTGCACACTGCACCGGGAATACACTTTCTTCTCATTCTGTTTCTTGGTCTTTGAGGTCAACTGGGTCACGTCCCTGATTTTCCTCTGTGTCTTGCTTGGGGGGGCAGGAGGATGCTCCTTTTCCACACTGTATGACCCCTGTCATGTATACAGGAGGGCTGTGAATAAGTCATCATAGGAGCTCCCTTTTATACTGTTAATTTTTGGGCAAAACCTAACAAGTGAGTAGGATGTACAGCCCCATTTCTACCTGGTAGCAGGTTTAAAGTTAGGCATATTCCCCATTTATTTCCATTGATTTCTTGTCACCGCTCACAAAGACAGAATTTCTGATTAATAATCTGGTACTGAAGCACTGACGCGCAGAGTCACACAATCAGAAAGTACATGCCCCAGTGACTGAAATACTCAGTTCCCAATCTTTATCATACTGAAATCTAAAGCTGCTGTATTTCTAGTAGAAGGAGTGGGGTAAATAAAAGGAGGATAAGACATCATTCTGACCACCATCTGCCACCTTTAGAAGCACCTTAAGCAGCAACCCACCTAGTCTCTCTCTCGGAAAGAGAAACAAGAATATTAAATGATAATTATGCATGTAAAACCACTTAGGCCTCTACTACTAGGGGGGACCGTTTTAATCCATGTCAGAAAGTACTTGAAACAAGAGGAAAGCCAAAAAGTCTGATGTAAACATTCACACAGAAAAACGCCCATGCTACAACACACACAGGCAGTGAATTGTTTTGTAGAGTGCTAGGGTGTGCAAGTTTGAGATGATGAGTGCATCTGTTTAGATTCGTTTATTCTGAGTTCTAGAAAGAAAACAGCCATTTGTTTTGAAGTTAAATTACGTAATATTCATGAATAACTGGTCGATGCCCATGGTGTTGCATGTGGCTAGTCAAGATCAGTTTGATTTGTTTTGGTCAAGCAGGGTCAGAGATGGCAGATAATGAAAGTAATTTGGTGAATGGGAGGGAAAATAGATCAATGAGGCAAGGGAGGAGGAATGGAGGGGTGCAAAAAAAACAGATAGTGAAAGGAAAGTAAAGCAAAGGAGAGACGGGGAGCAGAAGGGGGAAGGAAAAATGGGGGAGGGGACAGAGAAGGTGGAAGAATGAGGAGAATGTGTGTGCATCTCTCACACGGAAGGAAAATGAAATGGTTTAAAAGTCTTCCTATCAAATGGCTGGCAGCTGGGCTGAATGATTATTTTATCCAGAAATGACACTCTTTCCTCCAAGCTCCTCTCCTTTTAGCGAGATGCAGCAGCTTTACCTTTCAATAGAATATAGATCAGGAACTAAGTACAGAGGTCGCTCAGTAACGCACTTTCTGATTGTCCGATTCTGCACGTTACTGCTTCAGTGCTGAGTTATGCTGCATTTACCAAATGTTCTGACTTTGTGACTGGGGCAAGCAACCAGTGTCAAAGGTTACTTCAAAAAGGTTCAGAAGTCATGCAGCAGGGTGGGTAGAAATCATTTGGAAGTGAAGCAGATAAAGTGTGCGTCAGTTAGCTCAGTTTGGCTTCAGTGTCATGCTAAATACTGTAAACAGTGTGGGTTCAATTTCCACGTAGGCTAAAGGGGTCTTGGAGTTGATCTCCTCACCTTGCCCCAGAATAATATGTGGCATAAGCCTCAATAAGCCTTGGACAATAAGTACATGGAATGACGAGGAAAGAAATAAGTAAAAGTTGCTTACAGCCCAAGGGTAACGTATTCCAAGTTGTAATGAAATCATAGAAAATTAGCTTAGGGCTTTTCCGCAATGCAAATATCAGAGCACGTCTTTCTAGAACTACAGCACAATCTAACCAGAATCCCCTGGCAGACCAAAACCCCACAGTAAACAGTGGAACTCTTAGATAATCTAGCCATATGCAAGATGTTAAGTTTATTTTGACCTGTTTAGGTGAATAAGGTAGGTAACTACATTTCATACCAGTTGCAGAATCCAACCTTAAGCAATATAAAAACAGTATTGCAATTGCTGAAAAAAAATTAATGCTTTCTCATAGAATCATGAGTGGGTAAGATGGTAAAGGCAGCATACGGCATGCTTGCCTGTATAGGTCAGGGCTTTGAGCATAAAAAGTTGGCAAGTCAGGTTGCAACTGTCTAATAGTTTGGTCAGGCCACATTTGGAGGACTGTGTGTTGTTCTGGTGGCCCCACTATAGGAAGGATGTGGAGGCTTGGAGAGGTTGCAGAAGAGGTTTACCTGGATGTTGCATGGATTGGAGTGTATGAGCTGTAAGGAGACGCTGGGCAAACTTGGTTTGTTTTCACGAGAGTGTCGGAGGCTGGGGGGCAACATGATAGAAGTACACAAAATTATGAGGAGTATGGACAGTTGGGGTTTCTTTCCCAGGATGAAAATGTCAAATACTAAGGGCACCAGTTTAAAGGTGTGAGGGGAAAAATTTAAAGGAGATGTGCGCATCAAGTTCTTTTTTTACAGTGTTAGATGCCTGGAATGCGCTGCCTGGGGAGGTGATACGATAGTACGTTTAAGCGGCATTTAGAAAGAGACATGAACAGGCAGAGAATAGAAGGATTCTGGCCAAGTACAGGCAGATGCAATTAGTTTAGAACAGACGTGGTGGGCCGAAGGGCCGGTACCTGTGCTATACTGCTCTATTTTCTAATCATAGAATGGTTGCAGCACAGGAGGAAACATTTCCACTTATTTGTGCCACTTCTCTACAAGAGTAACTCACCTCATCTCACTCCCTTGCCTTTTTCCAGTAGCCCTGCATTTTCTCTTCTCCTCAGATAACTGTCCAATTCCCTTTTGAAAGCCAAGAATAAATCTGCTCCACCACACTTCCAAGCAAATTCTAACTGCTCACTGCATAATATAATTCATCCTTATAACTGCTTCTTTTTCTAATCACATTAAATTGGGGCCCTCTGATTCTCAATCGTTCCATCATCAGGAACACAGTCTCTCCTTATTTCTCTGTCCCAATCCCTCATGATTTTGAATACCTTTATCATATCTCCACTTAATCTTTTCCTTCAATTGATCATGTTATAGTATTGGATTTAGCTGCTCATTTTGCACAGACAATTATTTTTTTCAGTCTCTCAATCAACGTTGCTCACCACTTTATCCTCTGTCATTGACAGCATTATACATACCATAGTTTCTGAGACTCGGCTTTGAGCTTCCCCAGTTGAGTAGCTCTTTCTTCCTTCTTGGCCTCTGAAGTTTGATGTTCCTTCCTGATTCATAATCAGACTATCGACCGCCTTTTGTATCTGCTTGCAACTTTCCAAAAGCCTTGACATTGTAAACTCCGAGACTGACTGTTTTGGATCTTTCGAAAATTCATTCTTGACCTGAGGAGATTTCTGTTCACAATCTTCTTTATGGATTTTAGGTCTGTTTCCTACTGTTGGACACATCTCATTATCAACTGACATCTCAACATACTTTTCCTTCTCCAAAATAAAGTGTGGTGAATTGTGAACCAATCTCCTTGATCTGGTCAAATAATCCAAGACACCAGTTTTACTGTCAGGGCAATGACCATCAAATATTTGCGGTGAACGTTCTTTCTCAATGGGGGTTATTTCTAACTTTCTTTCTTCACTCCTATTTTTTCTATGCCTTGGCTTTGGATCACTCTGATCTTCCTCTCTGAGTTTTCCTTTCTCTCTGTTACCATCAGATTTTAGTCCATTTGTCACAGCCTCAGCCTGTTCCACTTCCCCATGCTTTATATAGGTTGAGGATGGTCTGCTTTTCATTTTGTCATGCTTAGGCCACCTGTTTAAACTGGCAGGTGTGCTGGTCAAAGTATCCATTTCTTGGATTCGTTTACCCTCTGACTTCTGACCATTTGAACAAAGATCACTCTTTTCCAATTTATGATATTCATTGTAGGCCAAGGATGGAGTGCTCTTCCATCTCTCATCCTTGGATTGTCTCTTGACAAGAGCAGGCATGCCATCAGACACATCCCTTTTAATTTCTTCATCACAACAGTCTTTTATTCTATCAGTTTTCTTATAGGTCTTTACTTCACGAGATGTAAATGATGAGCTCTTCTGAATTTTCACATTTGGAGATTTTCCTTCAGCTAGCTTCGAGGAGATGGGCTCTCGAGCCATGTCTACAGACTTTCTGTATTCAGCCATCAATACATCTAGGTCTAAGACACTATTACGTTGCAGGTGTTTTTTATTCAGCACTTCAGCTGTATTTTTGTCTTTATCTGATGAACATAATATTTCAGTGCCCTGATCAGCAGATTTTGTCATCTTTTTGGATGACTGTTCATTATAAAAACTAGAAACATAAGAACTGGTCATCAAAGGACTTTGCCAAGGACTGGAATGGTCATTATACATTTTATCATGATAAAGAGAAGACTTTGACTCTTTATTCTTGCTTTTAGTCATTTCTTTCCCCCACTCTGCCATCAAAGTATCAAGATCTAATATAGTATGCCTGTTACGACGTGAAATAACCTTGCTCTTTCTTAAATTCTCAAACTCTTCCCTTTTCAGGTCTTTTGTGCTTGGTGTTACATGGCTTTCCTCTGAAGAATTATCCTCTCCATTTGTCCATGGCATGTCCAGGAATGCATCAGTCAACAGGGTTGTTTTAGGTTTGGCTGAAGCGATTAACTTAGGATGACTTCGAAGGTTCTCTTCAGGGAACACATCTTTTGATCTATCAACTGACCGACTGTCAGAAGAAGGCAGTAGTTCAGATGTATATCTGTGTTTCGAATAACTCATCCCAGGTGAAAAATCAGAGATGTGATCTTCTGGAGAGGATTTAAAGATGGGCTGCAAATGTGTCTTTTTCTTTCCGTTATCCTTCCCTTCCTTTGGCTGGACATTTGCACTGAATTCTTTAATTCCATCATCTTGCTGCAACACCCTTGCTCCTTTACATCCTTCTACATCATTACTGCCTTTTGCATCTTTCACATCAACGGTCCCAGCAGAGGACAGGCGCTCCTGATTGGTAGCTTCATTGTCCTTTTTCAAACGAAATTCTTTAAAGCTGTCTTTTGACATGAGTAATAGTTCTGTGTTACGGTGGGAATTGGGCTGAATCTTTTTAATATTCTTCTTTTCACCTTTATCTGAGTCCACTACGGCTGGGGTTCGTATCTCAACATGAGATGACTGATTTTGAATAGGGTTCAGCACCTCAGCTACTTTAATTTTAGAATTTGGTGCAGTTGGTGGTGTCTCGAGGGTTGAATTGTTCTCAGCTGGAAGTGACTGATTCCAATATCCCTTTGCACCAGAAACATTCCCTTCGAGTTTGGTTTGGCTCATTGGAGAATGTGACTTCCTCCTGCTGTGAGTTGTGACTGTGTAGTCAATTGTTGTAGGGAGGGCACTGACTGCTTTCTCATTTGCATCTTGCAAGACATCAGTTTTAGTTGTGGATAATAACAAATCAGAAATGTTTTGTGCAGTAACTTTTGAGGAAGGAGGAGCATTTACCGAAAACCTGGGAACTCTTTCTTCCTCAGATTTTAAATGAGTCTTTCTTTGCTCCCCTAAGGCTGCGGCTTCAAGCTCCAAAGGCTTAGTTTTATTGGTCTCTGTATCATTACACATCACGTCAGATGATATTTTCAATGTAGTGTAATGTTTCAGCTCAGGCTGAGCAATGTGCTCTGATCTCTTGCTTTTATCGAAGGACTGGATAAGATCTTCTGAACGTAAAACCTCTGGTACTTTGTGACGCTGGATCTCATTTTCAACAACAGAGACTCTTACAGTTTTTATGCGTAAGTCAGAGTCCACAGATGAAGTGACTGTTTTCTGTCCACCTGAACTGTGTGCGCTAACCCTGGTCATTGAAGGATTACTCGCAGGATCACTGCTGTCATTTATTTGTCTCTTCATCATCTCATCCTTCCTGTTGAAGGTGTTTCTCCTGCTTATTTTCTCAGAGTGAGTTTTGTCATCTGAGGCAAGGTTATCAAAGGCTTGGCTCACTTTCTTCACTGACTGACGTCTGCTCCACCTAAATTCAGTGGTAGTGTCCATCAAGTGCTTTTCATTCTTTGTCTAAAAAGACACAAAAAAGAGCAGTTCAGCATTTGACAATAGCATATTGATTATGAGGAGGTAGGAACCTGAGATTAAGGATAATGGGCATACATTCCAGTCAACAACGAATAGTAGCCCCGGGTCTGCACTAGGCCTCAGCTTTGAGCTGCATTGCCAAATTACTCAGGTGCAGGACTGGAGACCTATATATACACGTTTGCCAACAATACTCAATTAGGTGACATAGTTAATGTTGTAGACTGGCAACAAAAGTTGCAAAACTGGGCCAGATGATACACAGTGCAAAGTGAGAGGTCATCTACTTTGGTCACAAGAAATGCACATACAACATATGAATTAGGAGCAGGAGTAAGCCATTTGGCCTTCTGATCCTGCCCTGCCATTCATTATAATCATGACTGATCCCCTGCATGAATGCTAGATTCTCGTTTTCTCCCAACATGCCTTGACGCCTTTAAAAATCAAAAAAAAATTTCTCTTCCCCCATCCCTTCTTAAACAATAGGGTGATAATTGCTACCTTCTAATCTGCAGGAGCCATTCTGAAATCTAAAGAATTTTGGAAGATGGTCATCAGTACATCCAATGTCTCCAGAGCTATCACTTCCACCACTCTGCGATGTGGATTATTAGATCCGAATGCCCAGTCAATTCTCAGTTCCGAGATAGTAGGAACTGCAGATGCTGGAGAATCGGAGACAACAACGTGCAGGGCTGGATGAACACAGCAGGCCAAGCAGCATCATAGGAGCAGAGAGGCTGACGTTTTGGGCCTAGACCCTTCATCAGAAAAGGGGGAGGGGAAGGGGGTTTTGA